AAATTTTATTCCAGAAGAGAGAGGTCTCCGTTTTTGGAGGTGCCGCTGAGCCCTTAATTAAAATGAGCACCAAAAAATAAAGAATGATGCAACAAAGGTCCGGAGTGGAAAAAAAACGCGTCCACAGACACGACTGAAGAACCACAAAATAAATTTGCATATAAAGAAATAAAAAACAGGCTGCTTATTCTTCTACTAAAGCGATTGTGGAAATCTAGACAGATCCTCTCGTGCTCAGATCATTTAAACATGCACGTCATGATCGGATCATTTTATTTAGTGTCCATGGAAATGGAGAGTTTGAACTTCTTACCAACATCGCATCGCAGAAATTTTGTACGTAAACGTAGCTAGTGAGCAGCTACTTTAATGATATTTAAACACAGTGTCTTCAGTCAGAGGCTTCTCCAGACCCGGAGCATGACAGACCTCTACAGGAGTTCCTCCCTGTCTGCAACACCTGAATAAAAAACAAAGCAAAAACTAAGTTACTGTAACATTGAGTTTGTCTTCAGTATTTTAAATTGAATTTTAATTAAACATCTGATTTACATTTGAGTGACAGTAAGTTTAACCCTGTAACTCATGAATCTTCCCTCCCCAGGCATCACGCTGCCCTCTGCCTTCTCAACACTCTACTTCCTCCTCTTCATCGGCGTGTGCACCTGGTGGGCGTGCCATCTACCCATCAGCCACCTGGGATTTAATGCACTGTGTGTGATGGTGGGCTTCTACACCGCGGGTCACATGGTGTGCCTGTACCTGTACCAGAGTCCGTTGGGTCAGGCCGCCTTCCCCCCCCAGGATCTGTGGGCCAGGTGAGACAACAAGCAGGTGGATCTTGTTTAATGAGGAAAATCGATGAGAAACGGGTCAAATGTTCCCGTTATCGGAGTAGAAGCCTCAGTTTCACAGAATCACTTTAGCTCTGATCCCAGGAGAGGAACTGATCCACAGGGTTTATACAGGAATGAGTAACTCTATTTTAATGCTCTTCTAATGCTATTAGAAATCATTTTAATGCCATCAACATGTACCCATTACTCTTGTGTATATACGTCAGTCCTTTATCATCTTTATCATCGACAGGCTGCAGCCATGTCCCGAATTCCTCGTTTTCCATCCACTTTTGTTGAAATTAGCATTTTCTTATTCTCTAGTTTTTTTCTCCGCCTCGAGCTTCTTTTCCGAACACACAGCTTTACGATCAACCAGAAGCGGTTCCGCTGATATTATATCTGATATAATAAATCTGATCAAATTGTTTTTATAAATGTATTTTATTTTTAAATAAAGAATTTTAAATGCCATGATAATCACATTTAATGAATTTTAATGGCAATTAAGGCCTTAATTTAAAAAATTATAATTTTATGAATTCTAATGACCCGTGGAAACCCTGGTCTAGAACGCACAGCACCAGTAGAACCGTTTTACTGTCATTGCAGAAACTGCTGGAACAACCAAACACATTTAATCTTTTTGCTTCTAAGTTGAATTTTTGGCCCATTTTGTTTGTAACTTAAACAGTAGAGCAGTAGTTCACAAAGTGAATACTGTTCCTTATGCTGTGGTAAATCCTCCACCCTGCTGGAGGACACGGAACGCCACCAGGCTGGGAATGTTTTTCCCATCCTTCCCAGCCTTAGTATCTTAGCCTGGTGAGACCATCCTGATCTCGC